AATACTAAACACACCACTCCTATCTGGTGGCACATTAGCTTGACCGCGCAGTGCCCCAAATTTGAATTAAGAGGACCGACCAAGCATCTTCTTCCATCTCCCTGTTACAGAAATCACTGCCATATCCATACAAATTGTACAGAATGTCAGGATAGTTTTCCAGGGACAAATGTTGTCGCCTGTTGAACGAGGTGACCTTGCTCGGGTCCCAGGTGTACGGTTCCTAAAATGGCTGCCATATACACGTCCACTGATAGGAGACGCGGAAGGTATTAAACTGATCAGAACAATACTAAACACACCACAAATAGGGTTTCTCTCCTGTATGGCTCCTCAAATGATGCTTAAGATTAGAAGCGGCTGAAAGGCATTTCTCACACTCCGAACAAAAATATATTTTTTTAACATTCTCTCCACTTTGAACGAAATGACGTTTGGGAAGAGATTAACATAATTAAACACAGGCAGTAAAAATACAGTTTTTTAGCCATACCCTGTAACTTTAAAACTACACATCCCATCTTCATAATTACATATTTGGAATCAGCACACTTAAAACATAAACATAACCAAAAATCAGCCAAATCCATCCAGGGGTTAAAAAGTTAGCTGGAGGTCCCTTTATGACCGACCGCAAGCACATTTTCCTGCCCAAAACAGTTCCATAGATTTCGGCTGTGAGGTCGGTCTATTTCAGGCTGAAAAAACGACTAAGTCCCATCGCCGAATGGGACTTAGTCTCTGCAGCTGAAATAATTTCTCATTTACTGAACCAAGTGGGAAATAGCAAGGCAGGCACAAAGGGTTTGCACCAGGTCTGGGGACACAGGGGACACCGTCTTAAAGGGGCCGTGTCCCCAACAAGTCTGGGGACACGGCCTTAAAGGGGCAGTGTCCCAATCTTCCTGATGTCCCAAAAAAGGTGTTTAAAGGGCCAGCACCAGTCACATAAAGAGTCCATAAGCCCCAATATGCCCACCGACAGTCTTAAAGGGCCATACACACCAAATAAAAGTGCATACATTTTCACAATCTCCCAGGGGCCATAGTCATGCGGGAGGAGGCTGGCAAAGAGGCTTCTCCACAACCCAGGGAAACAGGGCAATTTGCCATTTAAAGGGCCCGTTACAAATAGCAGTTTGTAACAAGGTGTCAATCCATATCTGCCAAGTGACCCGATGTAGGGGGAACAGTCCCTATTCTGCTCTGTGTCAGTGTGTATCAGGGATCCTTAGGACAGGTGTCAATCCATATCTGCCAAGTGACCCTATGTAGGGGACCAGTCTCTATTCTGCTCTGTGTCCGTGTGCATCAGGGGCTCTGAGGACAGGTGTCAATCCATATGTCAAGGTGTCAACATGTCATATGTCAGGTGTCAATCCATATTGATTGTGATTTAGGAATGTTAGGTGATTTCTGCCCTTTATGGATTAAAACCAGACTCTGTATCAACTGTGTAATTTTCCATGGGAGTTTTGCCATGGATCCCCCTCCGGCATGCCACAGTCCAGGTGTTAGTCCCCTTGAAACAACTTTTCCATCCCTATTGTGGCCAGAAAGAGTCCCTGTGTGTTTTAAAATTCGCCTCCCCATTGAAGTCAATGGCGTTTCGGGCGGTTCGCCAACATTTGCGGAAGTTCGCGTTCGCCGTTCGCGAACCGAAAATTTCGGGTTCGCGACATCACTAGTGACCAGCAGTCACATGGCCCCTGGGGGTCCTAATTTGCAGAGGGGGGACTGTCTGGCAATCAGACAGTCCCCCGAAATGGAGAAGAAGACCGATCGCCGGTGGTGGGAACGACAGAGATAAGGTAAGTGAATGGGAGGGGGTTAATATTGGGGAGGGGGTTAGTGTTGGGGGGTGAGAGGTTAATACTTTTTTGGGGAGAGGTTATTTTCTTCACTGAGCGCCTCGACCCCTCAAGGCACTCAGCATACAGTCAGAGCATTGGAAGCCTGCCTGATGGCTTCCGTTGCTCTGCACTACTCTGCCGGGCTCCATGAAGCATTGCTGCAATACCCTTAGAGCAGCTGGAAGCAATCATGATCGCCTCCAGCACTCATATTGGCCACGGACGTACAGGGTACGTCAGCGGTTGTTAAGGACCGTTTTTTGTCTGACGTCCCCTGTACGTTCGCGGTCACTAAGGGGTTAAACAATGACTAGCCTTTGGTGACTTGTATTTAAACATGTGGTGAAAACCGTTTAAAATACAAATATATAAAATATTGGAGAACAAGCAATTATAAATAATACATGAAATAAATAACACAAGAAACTTTTTCAAACACAATAAAAAGCAATAATATATACATTCAACTACTTATTTGGTTGCACAAACTTGCATAACAACATTATGGAAATGTACATTGTTATCACAATACCAATGCATCATTTGTACATTGACTGCCACTGTCACAACATCCAGCACCTGTAATGGGCACAGGTTGACTTAAACATGAGTCATCCAGGGACCTACATAAAATGTCAGTCTTATGCTCCCAGTGATACTGACTATCATCACGCCACCACAAGGTTTAATTATCCTGACTGTGCGATAAAAGAGCATTGGGAACTTTAATCCCTAACCTACTCTCTGTTTAATACATTATGAAACGTGTTTCTCTATTTGTTGCGTGTTGATGGTTCTATGAATGACATTCATATTAAACAAAGTGACTATAAATTTAGGTGGAAGACTTGCCCATTTATTCCATACTTGGTCTAGAATAACATCAGATTCTTGGGTAAAAGATGAAATTCTAGGATACCATATAGAGTTTCCCACTCTCCCGTGTTGAATCTCTATACCCAATGCTATCTAATTTTCACAAGAAAATTTAAATCTAATAGACATAGAAGTCTGGGAGTTACAAATGAAAGGAGCCATCATATATGTTTCTCTTTCCTCCCTTGGTTACTTAAAGGACCACTCCAGACTGTTGTTTTGTTTTTAAAAGCAAAATTACTATTCAGTAGATATACCCACAAAGAATACATGCATGTATTTTTCATGCATGTATTCATTGGGGGTATATCTTAAAAGAACTTGCAAAAGTCACAGTTCTTATGGATTGCAGCCTTAGCAAGCCCTCCCATTTTCCCTTCAAGTGGAAATAGTCAATCGGTGTCAGGTTATATCTGCCGGTTTCGCAGAATTAAGTGACTTCCGGGTTGACGGAGCTCTGCCCTGCCCCTTCTCTGACGCGGTCTCCTCACGCTACATAGGAAGACCGCGCCAGATTCAAAGTTGCTGGATTATTGAACGAGTTCCTGTGAACCTCTTACCGGCTAACCAATTTCATTCGAAGCTTCTCCGTGTACCGAAACCGCTCTGAAAACGACTACCCTCCTTCTCCACTCCTCGACCTCGGATTGTTAAACGGACTTCTGCTCTTACCCCTAAGGAACTGCTTAATTTGAACTCTCCAGTTTCCTGGAAACTGCTTCTGAAGCTAAGTACTTTTTTTCCTTCAATCCAATTTTCTCTCAGTTGCAAATAATAAGCTGCCTCATTGTTAAACACTCTTGAAGCTAATTCTACTGCATTTAATTCAACCCTAATTCTGCATGCATTCTCTGCACTATCCTTAATTGGGACTGCTTGGCTTTATGCAAAACTTCAGTGGCTTATTTTTTTCTGCAACTAACAACCTGCTATAAGAGTTTAAAGCTACAGTATCCACTCTTGCAATTCAATAACAAAAAAGAATAAAATTATAAATTGAAGTATTTAAAAGTTTTTCTGCAGTTGCGTTCCAGTAGTTTAGCATTACAATCGGAGGCTTCTCATTGAGAAGTCTCTGAACCAGTGTGCTTGTGCATGCACACATCTGATCTGAGGTCTATGGAGGAGCCTGATCTGAGGTCTGTGTGGGAGGAGGTAAGCATGATCAAGTAGAGTGCACCTGCCATTTCCGTTAGTTTAGGGGAGCTAAGAGAAGGAGACTGCAAGCGTTTATAAATAAATTATCAAACTGTCAGTCATAGAAATCTGCACTTTTATAAACTGGTGCTTGTAGCGGAGAGGTAGTATAATCCACAGTGTCTCCGCTGGGTAACAGGAACAGCATAAAATCATCCAAGCAAAATAAGTACAGCATGCAATAATCCTGGTAGCGTTGTATAAATCCTTCCTTCCCAAGAACTAGACGACACATAGGCTGGGAGTCAACTGAGGTTTTAATCACAGGTCACAGTATTTATGCAGTTCCCCATGCAAGCGGTTTCCTTACTGACCTTACAGGGGTTGTACAGTAGAGGACTACATGGTGAACTTAACAACCAAGATCTTTCTCCCATCATGCACTGCTGTACAAGAGGGATACTCCCACTAGAATATCCAGTTAAGTGGATTATCCCTCCTTACAGCAGAACTGGTATTTCACATAAAAATATATAACTTCAACATTATTCCTACTATCTTACCGAATGACCGTTCGGTAGATAGCTGGGGTCTGAGCGCACATTTCGTGCAATTACCGCTCAGATCCCAGCACATCTAGCCGAACGCGACATGAATTATACTTTAATGTATACTTCGGCTAAATTGCACGAATACACTTGTAGGAAGCAAGCACCGAAAGACCGGTACTCCCGAACGGCCTGGAAGTCCAGCGGTATTTGTGCCGTCGGGTAGCCGATTTTAGTTCCAGGCACTCGACGACAAAATAATGCTGGGCTAACAAAGGAACCAA